CGATCCTGCAGATTACAGAGAAGTCTAAGTGACTCAGAAGTCGAAATATTTCATGCGTGGAATGAAATAATTAAAACAAACTAAATCTTTATTATCTGTTTACTTTTGTTGGTTGTCTTTTTAAGCTTCCAAGTCAAAAGTAAATATACTTTTTGTCATAATGGCAGTGTAAAATTAGAGTAAGTTCCAACCAAAACCCGCAAAAATGTACAGCCATACATTTTCTGTAATCTCATAAAAATAGTCAACTGTGTAACGTAACAATGATTGAAAAGGTCTAATAGACGAAACATRTTTCATTCAAAGGTCTTGGTGTAGTGTGTCGAAAGAGGTGATTTTAAAAACGAAAAAAAGTTTAACATATAGCATGAAACTCATAAAAACCATTTCAGCTATTCTGCACTTTTGCAAAGTTTGTAAATAAGTTTTTAAAATGTTTTTAAGTTTGACTGGGCAACAGGGTACACWGTTATCATCATGAACAGGGAAGCTTTTCAGTTTTTATTCTTACCTGAAACAGAAGCGTGCATCTATTCTAATTGCACTTACTCCTTCAAATAATAACTTTTTTAAAAGAAAGCTTTTTAATCAGAGCGGTAGCTCGACCAACACAAAAAAATCCAACAAAGATCATTGTCGTGTCAGTATCTTCACATTTGCTTAAAGTCCACCTCAATCAATTTTTTTTACATTTGGAAAAAAAGATTAGGAGTTATAAACCACAAATTCACATAAAAAAAATCGAATTTCCAAATTTTATATTTTTTTATGCTCGTTTAATTCGGCCAAATGATTTTTGGCCGAGTGCGAGGGAGCCTGGGTTGATGAAGTAGATGCAGTAACTCGTCCTTCGGYAAATACAAAGTTTACTGTACAAGTTCCCCATATTTCATTACAAATCTATGTTTTCTAAGACTGAACGTGGGATAATCCAACCTGGAACACGGGTAGCCCAAGCTGTGAATCTATGTAAACAGTTGATTTATGACATAAACATACAATAAATTTCGCTATAACTTATGTGTGCATTATTATAGCTACTGGCAATCTCT